AGCATTTCATATATTTTAAAAATGGAGCTTTCTAAGAAAGAGAAAAATCAGCAGTGCTTATGGATTAGAAGAGGTTTGGCATATAAGACACCTCTCCTTCCAGCTGCTTCTACTTAATTCATTGGCTAAGCTGAGAAGTATCAGCCTTGGATCTCTCCCCTTGCACCCTGAGAGTGGCTGTGCAGCTTTGGCCACCACTGCCCTGACTGTAGCTAGCAGACAGCTAGCAGACACAGCCACATCCTGAGCAGCTGGGATCTTGCTTTTCAAAGCAAAGCCATCTCTTTTGAAAGTCTCACCCTTCTGTGGTAACTGAACAGCAATGGAGCATTTTGGGAAGACAGCCAAGGGAGTGAAGGGAGACACCCAGGTCTTGGCATGAGAGTTGTCCTAGCTCAGCTTGTGTCCTCTGAGGCACTGTCCAGAGCTGCTGGGGTGCCAGTGGGAGCCAGTGCCCACTGGAGACTTCTCAGAAACACTGCAGACACGGCGAGTGAGCACCTCACACCAAGTGAAGACACCAATCGTCGTTTCCTTCCTCTTTCCCAGAGACAGAAACAGCCACAGCAGCACACATAGCCCATGCCCTGCTGCTCCGCCCTCTATGAATCATACCAGGCTGAGAGGAGCAACGACAGAAATGCCCCTGCCAGCCTTGTGCAGGGTGGTTGTGAAAGACCTGAGACAGACATGTCACTCATTCACTTCATAACCAGAAAGGCAGCAATAGCTATTCTTTTGCTTGCTAATAACTCACAGCTCATGCAAGGCTGGAGGCCAGCTTCCCACACTCAGGAAGGGATGTGCCACAGGGTTTAGTGCTTTGAGACATCTCAGTGCTTTGAGACATCCCCCCTCCTCCCACTTCCAAAATGCAGCAGCTGGAGTCCAGCTACCAGTACAACAGCAGCTGCAGAAGCCAGGCCTTGGCTATGACTTGGATACTGACACTGATTTTAGAAATGGCACACAAAATAAATGTGTTACTGCAAGGCCACCTGCAAGTGACAGAAGTCTGACGGAGGCAGGGCCAGCTCTGTTTGCAGAGTAGGGCAGTTGCCTACAATGCAGGTAAGAGGAGTCCCTCTGAGCATCTCCTCTGTCCTGCTGAATACACAGGGCAGCTTGGTCGTGATGTTCTTCTGCCTCCCGAGTGACAGGGACCCTGCTGACACACAGAGGCTGTAGTGTCACATCGCAGTGCAGCAAGAGGTCCAGGCCAGTGGAAAGGCCACCACAGCTGTAGTTAAGCAGCTATATAATATGAACACCTAGATACACAAAAACAGTCATTTTCCCCCTGAATTTTGTTTTCAATAACTGGCTGCTCAGAGCACAAGGTGAAGGGCACACAGGTCTGCCATGAGAGGTACATGCTGATAACTGGTCAGCTCTTACCATTGTGAAGGAAATCTCTGAGAGGTAAAACACATTTCCTCATCTTCAGGGACATAAATTCATTATTGTCATTTCAGAGCAAGGGAGCTTGGCTAATCCGATTGTGGTCATGTCTGGCTTGTTTAAGAAGCTGAACTGACTTGTAATTAAGTTAAGGTAGTTAACTTGCTCACAAAGGCAAGAGCAGACAAGCATTCTGATGTTCTGAAATGAAGCTTTTTATTCCTTTTATATTAACCTGAGCTGTGTGCAACCAAAGCACTAGGAGAAAGTGCTAAAAAGACATGGATTGCCCTATTTATTGGAAATTATTCTAATGGCTGCATTCACTCAAATGCTATAGTAATACAGGAAACGCTGAGATGTAGAGAGTGCTGACATTTCTTTTTCCTTCATGTCTGATCCCTCTGGTGATTTCTTTTATAATGGTGTCATATATAGAGTCCCTTAAACACATTTTCTTTATTAACACAAGTATCAGCTAGTTTGTGTTCACAGACTTTAGTAAACACAGAATTCCCACAAAAATTGCACAAAAATTTGCAAACTGTTAATTGCAAATATCAGGCAAAACTGTATCAATTATATCTACCAAGTTTGAATAATTTTCTCCAAGAAAAATCGGGGGGGGGGGGGGCAAGAGTGATGATTTGAAACATATTTTTACTGTTTACTTGTAGAAAATATTTCTATTGTGTGCTGCATATCAAGTAAGTTTAAAAGCCTGGGAAATCTGTATTCAAAATAATTATTTTTTAAATAAAACTGTTAACCTGTTTTAATAACAAGCAAAAAGAAGATTGGCAACAGAACAACAAATGGAAAGGGATCTGTTTGAGAAGACAGAAGGAGAATATTTGGGCAAGGTCTCTCAGCTGAAAGCTTGACCCAACTGAGGCAGGGCTGAACATTTTTTTGTTTTTCTCTTTTTCAAAGCAAAAGAAATTGAAAATCCACATGTGTCATTTTAATGTATTTTAAGTACCAGAGACAGATTTTAACCTCTAAACAGTACCCAGGGACCCTGTTACCCAAGTAAACACAAGCAAAACCACCCTGGAAGGGTTTCACAGGAGACCTCAGTAGTCCCTCATTGTTCCCACCACAGAGAACAGGGCTGAAGTTGTGCAAGGTGCAAACCTCAATATAGCACTGGGCCAAATCTTCAGCTGAGTTCTGCTGTGTCCAGATTTCAACCTCTGTTTGGAGCTACCATACTTTCTGAGTACATGGGTTCTATAGCTCAGGGAAAACTGCATTACAGGCACTAAAATATATGTGCTTCACAGTTTGCTCCCAGTGAAAAGTGTCTCTTGGCTTTGAGAATCTGAAAATAACCAGGCTGTGAAAATTTGAACTGTTTTTTTCACAGAGCATGAAACCAAAATCCCCATTACTTTATCCTCTTTCCAAATTGATTTTAAAACTCAGTTGGCTTCCAGTGGCCTCACATTTTGCCCTGGCTCTAGAATGCACAATCAAGAGTATATCAAGCCATCCCTACACTTCCTGTGTACCCTGTATCGTCAGTTCAGATATCTCAAAGAAGCCTATCCACCTGGCTTCACTGAATTGCAACAGACATCAATTTCTTTATTTTGTAACACACCATAACAAGTTTTGTGAAGCTAATACAGATGAGATTTTCAGTTACACCTTTGTCTGGCTTAGTCTGTGATAACAATTCAGTGGAGCCTTTTGGTGCCCGAATGTGGCACTTTGTGGTAGATACCACAACACAGCATTCTCACCTGGTGATTACTGCTCTTCAGCACACAACTGCATCAACTGTTGTAAACAGACTTTAACCCACTGAGGGGGCAAAAAAAAGAGAACTGAATAGAGCATTCTGGAAAAAACATGTCTTAAAAATAGTTGAAACCAGGTATTCAATCCATTAGTGTGGAGTAGGGAACATAACAAAAATGTCCCCAGATGTAACAGATTTGAAAAATCATAACACGACATTTTTCATGCAATCTTTAATATTCAAACTGTAACAATGGCTACTTTTAAATTAGAGTTACAAAACCTAAGACTTCCAGTGGAGAGGTGTTGCAAGAGTTGACATGTAGAAGAGTATTTCTCCCAAAAGCTAAAAGATTTTTAACCAAGGACCACAAATACTTGGACACTTGTGTAACTCTACACAAGTACAATGCCATTCAGATTCTTTTACAAATATGTCAGTTTTAGTGTTTCAGTAACAAATCAACACTTGAGAAGAAAGAGAAGTAGGAAAGAGAAGAATTTAGGGAAGATGGGTGGTAACAGAAGTCCCTGTCTTGTGTGCTCAGATGCAGAAGTTTGTAAAGATTTAAGGCTGATATAAAAACCTCAGATGAGAACGAGATGTTTTTATGATCAGAAGCCTCCCTTATAATCAGGTTGATGAGTGGTAAATATTCAACAGTCTAGAAGCTGGTGGGACAATCACAACACTGGGTTTGTGATTGTCCCACTGGTAATCAAGGTGCTCACTGGGTAAACACTTGCTCACCTACATCACAGGCAAGATAATCCTACCTTTTATGGCATCATGCTATAACCACCTCAAAGGTTAGTTCCTAGCTAGCTGAAGGACAGGAAAAGGGACAAAGAAAATCTTGCTGCAGTAAGAAATTCTCTTGAGATGAGACAGATCTGCAAGACCTGAGAGGGGGTGCAGGACAGAGGGGACAGATAACATGAGGAGGAGGGGACCACCACAATTCACAAGGAATGTACAGCATTGTGGCTTGAGCCCTCTTCATCTTCTAGCAGAGTTCTCTTACACACCTGAAGTTTCCATTTCCTTAGCCTGCCTTTGTGTGTAGAAGGGTAACTTGGCCCCACTACATCCATCAGGACTTGGCTCCTAGACTTGACAGGTTCCCCAGGATGTAAAGCCTGTTTCAGTCTTACTTGGATACAACCTAGGCAATTATACTTAGTATGCAAACTCAAAAAAAAAAATGTCATTTAGCCATTCTAAAGTCAACCTTGCTTTGTACTCAATCTTTTACTGATGTTGGTGACTGGTTCCACTAAAACCACTGCTTTGAAACAAAGTGTACTAAAAATATATAAGAATATAAGTGCTCATGAAAAAATATCTTCCATCTCTGGAGACTGAAATCTTTTGTCTCCAGAATTACAGCAGGGACAACAGAGGTGATGCTAGCACAGATTCATCCCTGCCAGCCCAACCATATGTCTAAACCAACCCTGTCTGCAAGCCCTGAGGTTGTAAGCCAGTGAAGTCTAGGAAGAATCAGATTAGTTTCCCACCTTTGACCACATTGTTGAGGAACAATATTAAGGTAACAAATCTCACAAAACTGCAGGAGACAGCTGTCAAATGTCACTAAGTTTTGATTATTCCTATGCTGGTCATACTGATGACCGTTATGCAATGACTCAGGCAAGTCTAAGGCTTGCCTGCAGGCCATTTATTACATGGATAGGACAATTCATTTCTGTGGTTAGCTAAAGGGAGAACCACCAAAATATTAAAACAAACTTTTGTAATTTTCAACAATATATCCAAGAGTTCTCTAAATAAAATACACATTGGTCAGCTTTTATATACTACATTCTTAAGTAAAAAAAAAATCCACAAGTACAGAGGTGGGGACTGATCCAGGCACAATTTTGTCATTAAATAAATGCAGATGCAGACAAACCAACAACTGAGGAACATTGACAGAAACAAAAACAAAATCAGTACTGCTGTTATCTGCCAATCTGCAGGCTAGGCCTGCTGCAGTTCAGGCTTGCAAAGTCCAAACACAGGCTTGTGAATAAGGGTATGCACCTTTCATTTTTCAAGATAGCACACATGTGTTTTGGAGGGAAGAGGCTCAGATAAAGAGCACACCTGTTTCATAAATAGGCACCTGCACTGTGGTCCTGCCAGGAGCCCTCCTTTGATTCACCTCCCATTCCCTCTGCTGCAGCGTCTTTGTGAGAAAACAGAAAGAACAAACGTGAGCAAAACCACTGCTGACAGTCCTCAAAAGATCTTGCACTCATTAATGGAGAAGATCTTCCGCCTGTTCTGCCTTTTGGCTTGGTTGACCGCTGTCCTCACAGCATACTCAAACACCTGCTGCACTCCCCTGTTGCTGAGGGCAGAGCACTCCAAGTAGCCTTTGGCTCGCACATCCTGGGCGAGCCGCTTTCCATCTATAGGGCTGATGCAGGAGGAGCTGTAGGGACCCATGTCCCGCTGGTCCGTCTGAGTGGCCACCACCAAAACGGGGATGCGGGGCAAATGGCTGCGGATCTCGCTGATCCATTTGTTCCTCAGGTTCAGAAAGGAATTATGGTTTGCCACCGAGTAGCACATTAATACCACATCTGCCTGTTGGTAGGAGAGGGGGCGAATGCCTTTAAAGGCATCACTGCCAGATGTGTCCCAAAGACCTAAGCTGATCTGTACACCATCCATGAAGACATCCACACCAGTATTTTCATATACAGTGGGTCTGTAGTCATCTGGAAAAGTCTCAGATGTGAAACGTACCAGGAGAGATGTTTTCCCAACAGCAGAGTCTCCCACCAGAACACACTTGACTGAATCCAGCATTTTATTAACGTCCAAGGCCAAGAGTGCAGTCTCTGTGCAGCACGAGCGGGATGGAGAGATGCAGTGGTCTTAGAAGCCTTCTATATAATTTCCATTTAGTGAGAAACCATCCAAATCTCTTTACTTCTTATGACTCGATTCTGCCACTTGAGACTAAAATTTCATTTTCTCCCACATGACTCTGTTGGTTTTAAATCTTCAATGAGTCAAATGACGTTTCTGGAAAGCAAAAATAAAATGTAACATTTATAACCCACAGAGAACAAACCATTCCTCATCAAGATGAAGATGCCTGGACACATCTTTGGACAGGTATGGCAAGTATCCCTCACTGAGGATGATGAACTTTTCTATTTCCTCCCAGCCAGCTATGTGTGCAACAGCCATTCACATAAATAACCTTCTCACTGCTCCACAGGGGCTAACAGTCTTAGCACTATTATAATTTTCCACTGACACAAGCTATTTTTTCCTTCCAATTGTCTAGAGACTAAAAAAATTAATTTAACTTTTATATAACTGCTACTAATACGCTGTGAGACATTCCCTGCCTCTGACTTTCACCAAGAATGACAGAATCCTGAATCCCTAAATGATCAGTTCAGATTCCCTTGAAAATGTAGCCACGCTCTCTAGAGGTAGTCAGGAGAAAAAAAAAGCTCTTTGCTAACCAATTTGACTTTTTAAACAATCCCATATGAAACACTAACACAGAACCACTTGTGACAATGAGGAAGCAAAGACTTCAGGAGTGAATCTCAATTCACATGAACCTGAACAATTTTTAAAAGCAAAGAAAGATTCACAGAAAAAAAAACCCCAAGAACAGGTTAATTTTTTTCTTACAAATCACTTTCAACAATCAAGAAACACAAGCCAAAGAAAGCCCCACTACCGATGCTTGCCCCAGTAAAAAAATTTCATTTGAAGGGAATTTAACTGTCCTGGCATTTACTCCCTTGTAAAACTGAACTAAGAGTACTCTTCAGAGTATGTAATTGCTTTTGAGTTACTGCCAGCATTCAGTCAAATTTTCCTATTTTGAAAGCATTTGTTTCTTCCCCACTAACTGTGTGCAAGATTCACTGCTCACACAGGGTGACACGCAAGATGCTCCGAAAATCACTAACAGCAAAACTGAAGACAAATTAGTTCTGATGAACAAGCGTAATTAAAAAGAAAGTATCACTGCATAATTTCAAAATGTCATGTGTTTTTTACATAATTAATATATTTCTGTTTCCTTCATATATGTAGAGAGACATCCCAGCTGAAGGCTATTTGCACAGATATAAATGACGGCCACAAAGGGCATATACTGTATTTTACTGTAAGGCTCTCCACTTTCAGTACCCTAACACACCACCTCCTCCCCCTTTATTTCTAGAAAACACTTCAAGCTTTGGCTTACTCCACAAAGGGGGAAACACAAAGGGAAAGTGCTAAATGAGCTTAAAGAGAACATTTTACAGGTACCGACAACTGCTATTGTCCTGCTTTCGTTTTGTGCGGAGGCCATGCCCTACCTCCTCTGGTGCTGCTGGCACACCTGCATCTCCCACCTCATGGCCCGGCTGCCGGCAGATGTGTGGCCGGAGCTCGCTGCTTTATAAAGGTGGCCCCAGGCCTGCGGGCTGTCCCTGTGCGCGCTCGGGTTACCGTATCTACAGGAGCCATTGCAACACACGGCGCTTCCTGGCCTGCCAGCGACACCGCGGCTCTCACTGCCGCTCGCTTCTAGGAACTGGGATGGAGGCTGAGGCTGCTTCACGGCATTCCTGGCTGCCGGGAAACAGGCTGCACTATGAATTCAAGTTTTAGTGGCAGCAGATGAAAATTTGCTTTTAAAGATTCATTGTCTTCTATGTTCTCCAAACAAGCTCTCAAGGGAACTAAACAAGACCTTTACAAAACACATCTATGAAAAATTCAAAAAGCATCTGTAGGATAAACATTCAAATTGCTTATATGAATCATAATCTCTCTTTCAGAGTATTCTATTTCAAAATTGGGTCAGCAGTATAGCTTGAAAACACCTCAATTTCACCACAGGACAGCAATGTCCTATTCAGACAAAGCTGCATATTCTCAGAGAAAGTTTCCATGTACCAAGTATCCTTTTCAGAACAAACATTTCTTTGGTGCGAGGAGTCCTCAGTGCCTTCAGATGAATTATTTTGTGCACATTGGAATGTGGGGGAAATAAGGATGTCCAAAGCATGACTTTTGCAATTTCATAAATGCCAAAACAGAGAAAGAGAGATAAAAGGATTGTTCTGGCACTCAACTTGTGGATTACCAGATCAAATTATGCTGGTTATTTTGAAAATATAAAAATTATAAAAGATTGACAGAGATATTAAGGACTAGTGAATATGGCTAGTTGACAGACAATACAAGATGTTGAAATATTCCACTGCGACAGTGCAGAATTGTTTTCAAAGCAAATGATATTGTTCTATATTCCATCAGTGAATAATAAAAAACCCTGGTATATAACAAGGTCCATATTGTGATCCTGTGGACAAATTGCCTTCAATGGTCCTGGTCTTGCATTTGTTAACAACAAATGTGCCTCCATATATAATTGGGACTACATAGGTGCATATTGAAGCATTATCTGTAATTAGGCACATAGTTGGTCCTTGTTGCAGCCTCAGGGTAAGAGCAGCATTACTGTATTAAAATAATTACACAAGTTCACCTCACTGGAAGGAAAATGCTTGATTAAGCATCAACAAAAAGCAGTGTCCTTTAAAAAGCAGTACTTCAAAGTGTCCTTTAAAGACAGTACTGGACACTTCTGTGCCTCAGTATACAATCAGTTTTATAAATATTTGCAAAAGTTTTTGTCCCTTTCTCTCATATTCTGTCTTGGTCCGACAGCACAGTGTGCTACAACCATTACAAGATTGCGGAAAACCTTCTGCTCACAAATCAGAGATGGAGTCTAAGCTGTGGAGGCTTTTTTTTTAATCCGACAATTTGATTTTCAAAAATTTACCGACTTTATTAAGATCATTTTGTATATGGAATTCAATATATAAACGTCTATCTTCTTTTATGCTTTTTTGGTTTATGCTTTCATCACTCATAACAAGAGAAGATATTATTTGAATAATAAGATAAGACCTTTTATAAAATCACTAGGTATAAGAATGTATGTCTGATTCTTGTGTGGTCATGCTGAGTAGTGATCTTTAGTAAACTTCAGGTTTTGTTCCCTCTGTCTTTGGAATACAGGCACTAGTGTGTGGTTACAGAGATCTCGGACTTCACTGGGGGTGTGAGCACAAGAAGCCCTACAACAGTTGCTCTTGGGCAGTGTCTGAGTTGCACCTCAGCAATCTCATGCAGGTAAAATGCCTCACACTTGCTCATGGCTGAATACTATACAGAGAAGGTGAGTGGGGTTGCCAGCCTGCAATGGGATGGGATGAAAAGCAGAGCACAGCAGCACCGAGCTCTTCGCAGGTAGAGGATTCAAGTGAATACACATCCCATGAAAAACTAATCTGGTATTTGTTGAAAGAGCTCTACTAACAAAGGAAAGCAGGACTACTACATCAAAAGGGGTAAGTTTATCAGCTGGACCAAATGGGATTGTCATTTATGCCAAGAATATCTCTGGCATCTACTATAAGATCATTGTGAGCATGACTCGCTATGGCTAAACATCTCCAGGGGATGAACAGCATCTTATGATAGGGGAAAATAAAAACAGTCAGGAACTCCAATTTCAAAACCTCTCTTAGATCCTGATAGTGCACACTCAGGTAGGCTGGAATTTCAATGGAATTAGCTCATACATAAACAAACCATGCAAGCAAACAACCAGCTTTTTGGATCAGTCACAAAGTGCTTCAGAGAATTAAAGCAGTTAACATGCTAACTATTATTGCCATTATCCACTCCCTACCTCAATTACATCTCAGCAGAGGTCCTGTTTATGTCAGGATAACAGCAGATTAATTTTTCAGTTTGAGCACTGTGTATGCTAGTTCTTGAAGAGACTTGACATGGCAAGGATATTAAAATATTTAGACTAATAGAAGAGGTTGAAACCACCGGAGATACTTCCACCAGCCGTGCAATACTTGAATGTACATACTGTCTTTGCCTACCTACTCTGCTCTTTTAAATCCCACCTCACACAGAGGTGGGGTCTGCAAAACAGTGCCTACAGTTCTTCTCCAATGTGCTGACTGTAACCACTGCTCCTTGCAATTGCACCACAGATATGTAAGAACTCTCCTCAATTCCCTTAGCTAAACGCTCTCAAGGAGAGGAAGGAGGCACAAAGACTACCCTCACTGACCAGAAGAGTGTCCAGCTTTACACCTTCACCTCCATGGGCACAGTGGGCACTGCAGGGCATGGACAGAGCCTGAGAAAACTCCTGCAAGCAGAAGGAGGAGGAGGAAGGCTGGCAGGAATCAACACAGGGCAGAGACACTGCTGCCTGGTTAGTGACAGCACCCAGAAGATGCGGCCCCTTGTGACACAGAAACTGTGGCTGTTGTGACTCCAGTTTGGACACTCTGCTAGATCACCAGGTTGTCAAGGTCACACTGCCTGCTTTTCAGCTCTGTGGATGAGGTGTACTTGCTCCATTCAGATACAAACCTCCAGATTGCTTCCACAGCACAGGTCTTCTGAAAACTAATCCATCAGCTGCAGTCTGGAGACTGCAAGTAAACAAATCCTTGCTGCACTGTCATGCATTCACTCAGCTGATTCTCTGACATTTGCATTAGCTGCCTCCTATTTTCTTAACTCCTTTCAAGACAATTTTGATCTCTAGCCCTGTCTTGCCAATCAGCCTCCATCCACCTCAGAGAGTGTCAGCGTTTCAGTCCGTAGTGGCATTCAGTGGCGGCACCACTGGCTCACAGCCTGTACCTTTTCAAGGTGCTGCATCTTTTCCCCAAACTACTCCACCAAAAAATCTCCATTGAACTCATTCACTTCCTAAGGTGGCTACCACAGGGGTCATCACTATTCTTTGGCCCAAGAGAAAGGTGGCAGGTCACTCATTGGCAGAATAATTCAGCTGTCTGATATATTTGCAATACTGACAGATTAATTGCCAGATTATCTTTCAAGGTGCTTTTAAAGAATTGAAAGGATACTTAGAAGCTTGGATGAGAGCTTTTATACAGATATTTTATCCTTAAGAACAATAATTTCTTCAATGCCTTTCTAAAGTTAGAAAAGCA